CATGCGATGTGACATATTTTCCTTGCTAAAGTAGCCCTGAAATGTTCTTATTACTTCTTTCGCTTACTGCTTAAGGTAAAGTTGTCATGCAAAAGTCTTTCGGAGTTTCTTCTTTTGTGTTTTCATGTTTTAAGTCGTTCAAGATCGAGGAGTTCGGTCTACCCCACAATCGCAGCCACAATCCACCAGAAGCCGAACAACAACGCCAATTCAATAAGGCTCTAATCTGATTTCTTTTCTTGTACTATCTGGCGACTGCATTTTTGCACTTGGCGACCATTTTTTCTCTGATAGTCGCCAAAAGGCGACTTGGAATTTTTTAATTTCGAGCCCTGCTGTAAAGGCCAATACAAGCCTTGAATTGTCTATCACATTCTGGACAACACAGGCCCGGTGGTAATTCTGTCCGTGGCTGTTGTTGTCTTTCTTTCTTCCTTTCCCTCTTCAGCCTTGTGCCTTCTGAACGCCTTTCCTCAAACTTTTCCACTCCATCTCTTATTGCTTTCCTCCAAATAGTTCTGCTCATAGCCAGATTTTCCCATTCTTTAGTGTCAATGGCGCACTGGTTAAGGTGACTTTTTAGCCCGTCCTTGAATCTTTTCTTTTGCCCTCCTACATCCCGTTTACCTTCTGTCAGTTCACTGTAAAACATCTTTTTTGGCAGTATGTTGTTTTCCATCCTCACTACATGGCCACTCCATCTCAACTGGTTCCTCACAATCACACTCTCCACACTACACATAGCTGCTTGTTCCAAAACACTGAGACTGGTTCTCCTATCTTGCCACTTTATGATCATCATTTTCCGTAAACATCGTTGCTGGAACTTTTCTAAGGCTACTATGTGTCTGCGGTAGATTGTCCATGGTTCAGATCCGTATAGTAAGGTGGTTACAACTATTTAAACAATAGAGTGTTTCTGTCGAGGAGCTATCGGCTGATAGTTGCCCCGCGGAAATTTGATGTTCTTAAAACAAATATTTGCCCGAGAAGCGAAGCTT